AGAAAACAATTGGTAGCACACTACGTTGTAAAGGACTGAAATCCTGCAGCGCCCGCAAGGTTCCCCTGCTCAAAAAAGCACATGTACAGGCCAGTCTGAAGTTTGCTAATGAACATCCAAATGAATCAGAGGAGAACTGGGTGAAAGTGTTGTGGTCAGATGAAACCAAAATCGAGCTTTTTGACATAAACTCAACTCGCCCTGTTTGGAGGAGAAAGAATGCTGCCTATAACCCCAAGAACACCATCCCCACTGTCAAACATGGAGGTGGAAACATTATGTTTTGGGGTGTTTTTCTGCTAAGGGAACAGGACAACTGCACCGCATCAAAGGGACAATGGACGGGGCCATGTACCGTCAAATCTTGTGTGAGAACCTCTTTCCTTCAACTAATGCATTGATGGGTTGTGGATGGGTATTCCAGCATGACAATGACCCAAAACACACAGCCAAGGCAACAAAGGAGGGCCTCAAGAAGAAGCACATTAAGGTTCTGAAGTGGCCTAGCCAGTCTCCAGACCTTAATCCCATAGAAAATCTGTGGAGGGGGCTGATGGTTCGAGTTGCCAAATGTCAGCTTTGAAATCTTAATGACTTGGAGAGGATCTGCAAAGAGGAGTGGGACAAAACCCCTCCTGAGATGTGTGCAAACCTAATGGCCAACTACAAGAAACGTCTGACCTCTGTGATTGCCAACAAGGGTTTTGCCACCAAATACTAAGTCGAATGGGTTAAAAATACTTATTTCACTCATTGACATGCAAAACAATGTAACTTTTTTGACATGTGTTTTTCTGGATTTTATTTTTGTTATTCTGTCTCTCACTGTTAAAATGCACCTACCAATAAAATGATAGACTGATCATTTCTTTGTCAGTGGGCAAACATTCAAAATCAGCAGGGGGTTGAATACTTTTTTCCCTTACTATATATGAAACTGTGTCCGGTGATTAAACTATTTCTAAACTGTTTTGCAATTCAGCAACCAGGATCAACAGTGATCCCGGCCACCTCACACATATGTTTTTTTCATTCCCCAGTATATATAAGGATAAGATCTAACACAGTAACAGCGATGAGAAAGAGGACAAATTTATCAAGTATGCCAAATATCCCACGGAAACTCTAGTCTTGTAGTGTTTAACAAAATTATAAATTCAACGATCTGTTATGATTAATGTTTCATAGGTATTATTATTATCAATTTAGTGTTCATTGAATAAACCTCAAAATGATATGAACAGAAAAGTAAATGCTATCAATAATGGAATATATGAAAAATCTGCTTGTCTTCCAAGAAAAGGAGCATAAATAAATGAAACTCTCTGAAATATAATAGAGAAATTAAAAAGCTAAAACAGTGCTGTCGCTTTTCAGTTTTTTGTTTTTTTTTTATAAACTATAAAAGTATTGCTTTGGAATTTCTATGAAATGTCTAGGAAATTCCAGGAAAATAAAAATAAATCTCTAAGATAAAGTAGATACTATGCTAAGTCTTATGTACAAGTTGATAAAGGAAAAATTAGACAAAGGCAGAGTCTAATTTAAATTCCGTTAGTCATGATATCTAATGCAAAAGGTATCTTCTATCTAGATGTACGATAGAGGCCAAATGAGAGATGGTCTCCAGAGGTTGCGCTTTCTTTTTTGATCCTCCACTTAGTACTCCCATGCATGTACAAAGGTATAACAATAAACTGGTTTTAAATTGATATCAGGTTAAGAAGAAAAGGGAAAGACAGAGGAGCAAGAGATTCAAGTAAGAGTCTTCCCTACAAGGTTGCCATGTATGGACTTCCTTGATATCTCCATCATCTGTCTTTTCTTTACTGACTGTTATGCATTAAGCATTATGCTGCTCATCTCATTGATTTAATGTGATGTGTATGGATCTATGCTGATATTCACCAACCTCCAGAATGGAAAGAAGCCTTCCATACCACAGAGAGTTTGCTCCCTCATCCAGAGACTTTGCTCCCTCACCCAAACATGGACACCACAGCAAAAAAGAGGAGCTTTGATTGTATAACTTCTGCTGTATTAGCTCTGCAGAGTCAGCCACACAAACACATTCACAGTCATGTATACATGTGTGATATGTACTTTCACATACATATTAGGTGCAGCAACTCACACATTGTATGTGTAGCTATTTATATTACTCTTTAAGTCATGTGCAGCAGATTCATCTCACAAATATCCACATACATGTAATCACTGACATACACTCACACAATCTCCTTCTAGGGCTCTTGGCCGTGTGGAATGTTAACCCTTCTCTATAGGCAAGGTGGCATTCTCCTAGAGGGTTCATCATTGAAAGGTCCTGGAATGGAGTGCTTGGCTGTGACAGCAATCAGATTAAAAGCATCATTGATGGTATGTAATCCAGTCTATTTATGACTGGAGATCCATTTGATCATGACATGCTATATATTCTGGAATCAAACGACTGAGTGTAAGCATGTTTACAGCAAGATAAAGGATCCTTCTCTGTGGATCTTATGATGACAGTCCCTATTTTGAACCCATTTCCCCCGTCCGTCATTTGTATCCTACTGTTCCTCTTCTCCATATTGTTGGTGTTTCTCTACAGCAATAATACTTACAATAATGTGTCTTAAAACTACAATAAATGTGTTTATACATCATTCTTTGCAAATAACATATATTGTTCTTATTCTAAATTACATTTTATCTGCATACATTATTAGTCCCCTAACATTTCTCAATACAGCTCCATCCCTGGCCATACCCCCATTCATATTCCTAAAATGAAAGTGACCCTCTTTGTCCATATGTCCCATGTTGGGAGGTATGTATGCATATTTCCTTATCATTTGAGAAGAAAAAGGATTAAGATATAATTAACCATACACTACAGGGAACAACTGCAATAGGGCCCTGTTTTAATATTGTTGGATAAGATTTTCAAATAATTTTATATTTTTGGATAAATTATTATTTTTATTTTCTCAAAATATAAAAATTTCAAAAAAGTTTATTCAAAAATATTAAATCATTTAAAAGAGTTTATCCAACAATATTAAATTGGGGCTTTAAGTTTCCCATGTCTTCCAATGACTGATGCAGACCTTTATATAACATACTGTCCATGTCTTTATCTTTGATGTAAAAATATTCAACATGTTGTTTACAACTCACGGTGAAGAAAAATCATTATAGTTTAAAAAAAAAAAAAAAAACCTCACCAAGTGAAAACTTTAGAAGAGGCTTCAGTGTTTAAAATTGAAAAACAATATTAATTGCACAGTACAGTTATAAAATGTAATTATATACATTAGTCCACCTTTTAAAATGTGTCACATTTTCAATGCAAACCTGCTGACCTGCTGGAATACTTTAATAATATAGGTTGTCCAAACATGAGTTTTAGCTTTTTACATTGGTATTTTGCTACTAATCTATAAAGTATGGCAGGAAAGCTAAATATTCCACTGTTAAGATGCTTGACTACTATTCTGTATTTGAAAACTGATAAGTTTCTGGTTCACTATTTTCTCATTATAACAATTATCACTAATTGATTGAAGTGAAAAGAAATGTTCAATCTAAAAAATGAAGACAGAAAATCTGTGCCCAGTCAGAGGGAAAAGTCATGACAAGCTTGTTACAACTTACACATTAACGCCTCGATTTAAAGTGATAATTATAGTCACCAGAACCACTACAGCTTAATGTATGGGTTTTTGCATCTATAGCATGTCCCTCGAGGCTGAGCACTGTACACACTGCTTTTTCAGAGAAAAGGCAATGTTTACAATGGTACCTAGTAACACCTCTAGTGGCAGTCACTCAGACGGCCACTAGAATTGCTTCCTGGTCCAATGCTGCACATCTCTATAAAGAGATGCTGATTGTGAAAGTATTGGATTGGCTGAGATCATCAAGACTGATGATCTCAGTAATTGAGGCGGAGTCAAGTGGGGCCATCCACAGTGAGACAGGTGCAGCATGGCAGAAAAGGTGAGTGGGATCGCAGGGTGGTCGGTCACCTAAACAGCTACTTCAGGCCTATAGTGTCATGAATACATGTTTGTATTATTGAGACTATAGTGTTCCATTAATAATTAATTAATTGTTGGTAATAATTTAAAAAGTATGTTTTCAAAATATGAAAATATAAATCTTAAAATATCAAAAATATATAAATCCAGGCCTTAAGCAAGCTTGATGCAACTTACAAATTAAGGCCTTGATTTAACATTTTAATCATTTTTGGTTAAAATGTAAAAAAAATGAAAATGTATATATCAAAATATCAAAAATATATCATATTGAAAAATATATCAACATATAACAAAAATATAAATCATGACTGAAAAAGGAAAGGTACGTTGCCATTATTTATTTTGAGTAAAAATCACAAATCTGATTTAAAACTAAAACATTGCTGAATCTGGATGTTAAAGTAAGGAATACTTGCATTGTTTGTATTTTTCATTGGAATGTATTTGGTGATAAGGAAAGATTTGTAGACAGGAGTGTTTTTTTTAAATTCTTTATTTTTTGCTTTGATGGTCATCCACATACATATGATATACAGTCCAAAAACCTAATACAAAATGATCAAATAGTAAATCGGCATTATACAGGAGGTATATAAACATCCGTCATGACACAATTATTATACATAGTAACTGATATATATAGTGTATGGGTTCCCATCCTGAAGACGACCCATCAGGGTGGTATTTCGATAATAGAGTAAAATACAACAATATTAACATTGAGAAAGCAAGAATAAGTCTCGGTGCCTAGCTTAAGATCACCAGTGAGCAGGAAAGTAGTAGCAAGGCACATATTGTCCCCTCCAAACAGCCTTAATATTTTCCTCCAGTTAGCTTACAACACGGAGAACATAAACCAACTTTTGTTATATGCCCCACCTAAGAGATGTTTGGCAACCCAGACAGAAAGAGAAAGAAAAGAGAGTCAGAAGAAAGATGGGGGCAGGTGGGGAGAGGAGGTCGCTGCAGATAGCCGAAGAAAGGAGGCAGAAGGGGGGGAATGAGACGGTCCAGACAGGAGAGCCCCATAAGCGCCCAGAAGCAATCTCCTCACAAAGATCAGGGAATATCCCCCAGAGTGATCCTGAAAGTCCCCCCTATAGGGATAGAGGACGAAACCAGCGACCCTATGAGGTGGGCACAGCTGAAGAGAGGTTGTCCCCCATATCGCTGTCCATCCACCTTCTCAAATGTCTTTATGGTGCCTTTGATTTTTTGAACGACCACTTCTACTGAATGCCAGACCTGTGCCAAAGCCCTTCTAGCTGCCAGGTTAAATTGGTGTAAAAGTTTCTGATCCGTTTTAGTCCAATCATCCAAAGGTCTAGCAAACAAAAAATATCCAAGGGTCCAACTTAATATCTCTACAGAAAAGATCCCTTATTAAATATTTAATCCTTGTCCAAAACCTTTGTATGTCTGAACATTTCCACCACATGTAGATATATGTCCCCTTCTGTCTGCACCCTCTCCAACACAAATCCATGGGTATCTTATTCATACCACATAATTGACAGGGGTGGTGTACCATCTAAACATGATCTTATATGCCTGTTCCTGTAAAGTAACACATATGGAGGATGTTGCGGTTGCTTTCCCAAATTTCCTGTCATTCGACCCCTTCTAGCATTTCATCTAGATCAGCTTCCCATTCATCAATATATGTTAGTTCTCCCCATTCTAAGGTATTGGTGCTAAGGTGGGCATATTGAGCAGTAATCAAGCCTTCGGGAACTGTTCCTGAATGCACATTTAAAAAAAAAAAAAAATAGCTGCTATGTAACTGCCTTCCGAATCTGAGTTTCCTGAGCATAATCCCTGAGTTGAACATACTGGAAGAAATCCGAAGGTTTTAGGGTAGCCCGAGTTTACAGTTCCTCAAAGGGTACAACAGCCTTCCTCAAATAGATGGCAAAGTCGCTGCAAACCGTACCTTTAAAATCATGTGCTTTCACCCCAGTGGAACGCCCCAAGCACAGGAACGGCATTAACGGGGAAGGGGAAAAGGCTAAACCATATTTTAAAGCATTAGAGTCTCACAGTTTCAGGGAGTTTAGGACTGCAGGGCATTTCGTTCGAAGGGGAGGTCGATAGTCTTTAGGTACCCACATGAAAAACTGCAATAGGTCCGAATCCATTAACAAAGACTCTAGATCTACCCATCATTTTTCCTCAAGGGGAGAGTACCACAACGTGATCTGAGTCAATTAGGCTGCTAAGTAATAAAAATACAAACCCAATTCCCCCCTCCCCCAGGGGGGCACCTTAGCCCGGTAAAGTACATTGCGGGACACTGTGTTTTTTATTTTGCCATATGAATTTGCTTATGACCAGGTGAAGAGTGGCCAGATTGGATTTTGTGATTTGGACCGGCAGAGCATGGAATAAAAACAGTATTCTAGGGAGGATATTCATTTTCACAGAGTGAACCCTGCCTATCTGCGAGATCGGTTTATCGACCTACTTCTCTAGATCTTCAGTGAGTGCTTTGAACATAGGGATGTAATTTTGTTGGTATAATCGGGTAAGATCTGCCGTTAGCCACATACCTGACCAATGTGTGCCGTCTCTGCTGCCGAAAGTCCTATGGGAAGTGCACTTGACTTGTTCAAGTTCACTTTGAGACAGGAGTAGTTTTAACTGGGTGTTGTAGCATGCCCCAAAATTTTAATTGGATCAAGGAATAATAAAGATTAAGAAAAATGTGGATATAACATTGTTAAGTTAAGTTGGTAAAGGATACATGTATCAATTACAGTTTTGGCTGTGATTTCTGTACAATAAATGCAGGTCTTAGAAAGAAACTGAATATGAATGCCGGGGACAGACTGGAGAATCCAAGTACTTTTTGGCAAGACAAAACATATAGGATGAGAGCAGACTTGTTTACTGTAAGGGATATTTTTGATATTGAAAACAAGTAGTTCCCTAGAGGAAAGATATGCACAGGGAGATAGCAGAATATATTTTCTGAAATAAGTCATGTGTGTATAAGACTAACTAAGGATATTCCTATTTGGAATTAAAGTATTTGATGGTTACGTTCCCCAAAATGGTTAAGGATGCCAGGATTTATATATATTTGTGGTCGTATACAATATTTATTTATAAAATATGTTACCAGGAAAGATGTTCTGGGTCCACAGATCATTGCATTGTTACATTAGGTTACAATAAAATACAAAAACAATATTAATACACAATAATTAAAAAATTTAACATAGAACAGGTAGGAAATATATAATCAACCATGACAGGTGCATTGTTTTGAGGTATGTAGAGCAGGATCTCTTAAAGGACTTTATGCTTAGGGAAGATTTTAAATTGTGCGGGAGGTCGTTCCACAATTGCGGCACTCTGTAGGAGAAGGAGGATCGGGCTGCTTTCTTTTTGTATTGAGGTAGACTAAGTAAAGTGTTGGTACTGGATCGGAGGTTATAGGAAGTGGGAACAGCTGGGGAAAGCATTTTGTTCAGGTAGGATGGGAGTTTCCCAGAAAAGCTCTTAAACACAAGGCTAGAAAGATGAAGGGTGCGTCTGGATTCCAGCAACAGCCAGTTTAGTTCTTTTAGCATGTCACAATGGTGAGTCCTGTAATTACCTTGTAGCACAAATCGGCAGAACGAGTTATACAATGTGTTGAGTTTATTAATGTGGGATTGCGATGCAGATGCATATACTACATCCCCATAATCAATGATTGGCATTAGCATTTGCTGTACAATCTTTTCCTTTACTGTAGGGCTTAGGGAGGATTTGTTTCTGTACAGGGCACCTAGTTTTGGATAAAGTTTAGATGCAAGCTTTTCTATGTGCAGGCCAAAAGACAGGTTGGGGTCTAACATCATACCCAAGTATTTGAAAGAGTGGACTGCCATTTGAATTTGTTTTGATGGATAGGTGGGAATTGTGTAATTTGTGTAATTTAGGTACTGTTCCAAATATCATTGTGACGGTGTTGTCAGTGTTCAGGAAGAGTTTGTTTTTTGCGATCCATTTGTCTACCTCTGTAAACTGGTCTTGGAGCACAGCCTCAAGCTGTGGTAGATTGGATTTGCTCGCATAGATTACTGTGTCATCTGAGTACATGTGTACATTTGAGTATTTGCAGACATTAGGCAGATCATTTATAAATAATGTAAATAGTAGGGGGCCGAGAATGGAACCTTGGGTAACACCACAAGTGACTGGGAGAGGGAGGGAGTCGCTGTCAGAAATGGACACATATTTCAAGCGATCCGATACATACAATCGAAACCAGGTTATCGAATGATCACCAAGTTTTTGAGTTTGTGCAGTAGAATGTTGTGGTCTACTGTGTCAAAGGCTTTAGCAAAATCAAGGAAAATAGCTCGAGTTATAATAATGGTGGTGTAAGTCGGTTTTGGTGTGCCGGAATCGACGTTCGGGTAATAGAGGGCCCACCAAGATGAATGGCTTAATAAAGGGAGTGGTGTTTGGGCTGAACCAGGCAGTTTCAGCCCAGAGGAAGGGGAGATCTGTGTATTTATAGGATGGGTAACTCCTCCCAGAACTACAGGCTTCATCTAACGGCTCAGCCTTCTCATATATAACAAAGAGGACTGCACTCACCTGAACATGCATACATTATAAGGGTGCTGTTGGGGCCAATTCACACAACAGTATGGGGGTTTAGTTACAGTACATGATCATACATTGCATAAGCCTGGGAGATACATTAGACTTGTGGCCAGCTAATGCAATGTATTATCATATACTGTAACTAAACCCCATTATTTTTGCCTAGATTTTTTAAAGAAAAAACGATTACATTCTGTGAGCCTTGAAATTGTTGTATAGTGAATGAGTGAGTGCTGGATCTTGTATGTTGTGTGTATGTGCATATCTGTGTATGTGTGTGTGTGTGTGTGTGTGTGTGTGTGTGTGTGTGTATATATATATATATATATATATATATATATATATATATAATATCGTGGATATGAATGGTGCTCCACAAGGCTATTCGGAGAGTAGAACTCCCTTTTCTCCCAGTTACTATTGAGAGAGTGTGCTTGGCAACAGAACTTTGCTGCACACACTTGTTAGTTAGATAGTGTGACAGATAATAATGTACTTGCCCAACATGTTTTTTAATATAACAAAGGGATGTTAGTTTGTCTCGTGCCTCCCTCCACACAAGAGACAAATAGAAATGTAATGAAAATGTCAAAACAAAAATAGGAGTATTTGATAGTGAGAATTACAGATTAAGATATTTTTTTTTCCTCTGCGTAACAGTAGATTAAACCCATCAAGATTGGGGTATTTTGATGAATGGTGGTGGCCTAACGAATTACATGTGCATATATGTGTAATTAAATAACCACATTTTGAATCTAAATTGAGTGTTTTATGAAGTTTCTTGAGATTGGTAACTGTTATAATGATGTGTACTTATTCTATTTTCTTTTCTCTTTCCTTAATACAAAGAGTGATTGTGCATGATTGAAAGCAATTAAAAAAAAAAAAATGAAAACAACAAAGAGCTCTGAAAGATAATTCACTGTATAATCTGGATTGGAGACCAGAGAGGGACCTGACAAAAACACGGAAAAATATGAATGAAGTCAGCACAAAGGATTAGACATTTTTGCATAGAATTAAGAAAATAGAAACGACAATGATGAGTTTTAATTTGAGCAGGAAAACATTTATTTAGTAAATGAACGATTTAACAAGGTAAAGGAGATATATGTATAAATTATGGATATAGCAAATTACTGCTATTAATATGAAAGGAATTTAAGAAGATATCATATGCTTCTCTGTGGAGAGATCTGAATATATTAGGGGACTGTTCGTGCATGTGGCAAATGAGATGTTGATAAAAGCAGAGTTTTGCATTTTCAGATAAGGACCACAAAAGCAGCATGTTTCCTAAATGGAATGGACTTAGAAATTATGGTAAATGATAAGAGTTTTTATTTATAAAAACCAATGTTATAATAGTTAATGATTATATACAGCAAACTAGGCAACAATGCATAATATCAGCCACCAGTTACAAAAGTCATTAGGACTCCCTGGGTGATGCCTAACCTTATATTTAACTAGTTCAGAACAGTTTAACACCTGAGGTGTAACCCAGGTGCCCACCCGCAGTCTATAGC